GGATGGGGAATTTAATTCTCCATTGAACAGTCGTTGTTTCATTCCTTAATATTAATTAGTCGGCGAATAAATCAACTGAAAAACATAAAGTAAACATTGAGTACAAGGAGGACAAAAATACCTCTCCGAACCTGTCCCTCTCACAGCGGGACTGCTACTGCCGAGTTACTCACGCACCCGACTCACATTTACCGACAATTCGACCGGGACGCCGCCTTTCCCGTGGGGTACCAACTAACATTTTTGGTGTCAGTCAAACTCCCCGATCCGGGCCTCTACTCAGGTCTATCCTCTTTGCTGTGATGCGCGGCCACACGATATCAAAATTATCCACGATACTCGACTCTCATTGCGAGAGAACCCATGGTTCCTCAACGTACCGCATTTCAGTACATAGAATCTGTTCATGTAACATCATACTTTCCTTGATTTTTTAATGCAACAAATCGAGCACGAGACAGGTAAATAATTCCCCCAAAAAATTCCACCTTGAAAACAACAATTTTCCCCGTTCTAAAACCGTACAAAAATGGCTTAGAAAGCTCAATAACCCTCTAAAATAATTGACATTGACTCATTTTCTTTTGCATTTGTTTTTGTTCCCCTCTGAAAATCTGTTTGCACCCCATGCAAAAGTCCTTTTAAATTGCCTCATAAACGTTTGTAATTTCTAGTCTAGAAAAAAAAAGAAAAAAAATAGCATACAAAAATTTTCCTTTTCAATTCTAGAAGTTTGGAAAGAAAAATTCAAGACTGAAGAAAAGGAGTTAAACCCGTTGGAAGAGATGGAGTTTGGTGTGGGTGATGTAGCCCAAATATCAGCAGAGCTAGCACGTGTCGTGGAAATAATGATGTCTCCCGACGTTCCACATCAACAACGATTGGATGTTTACAATGCCTGCGAGAGATTCAAGGAGACCTCACCCCTTTGCGCTCAATGTGGTTTATATCTTGCGCAAAAATCACCAAATAAGAGTTCAGTGGTGCGACATTTCGGCCTCCAGTTGATGGAGCACTGCATCAAGTATCGTTGGACCCAGATATCTCAGACTGAAAAGGTTTTTATTAAGGAGAGTTCGATGAAGCTGCTGCAAGAAGGAATGGAGAATGGGGGATTGCAGGAGGAGACACACATTAAAGATGCCATGTCTCGGGTGATTGTGGAGATGATAAAGAGGGAATGGCCCCAGCAGTGGCCCACCTTGTTGGCTGAGCTCAGTCAGGCTTGCACACGAGGAGAGAGTCAGACTGAGGTGGTTCTGCTCGTCTTTCTTCGTTTGGTGGAGGATGTTGCCCTGTTACAGACACTCGAGTCCAATCAGAGACGAAAGGACATTTATCAGGCCCTCACCACAAATATGGCTGAGATTTTTGCCTTCTTCCTGAGACTGATGGAGCAACACTTTTCGGAATTCCAGAAGAAAACAGCACTCGGTAGTCTTACTGAAGCTTCTGCCCACAGTAAAGTTGTGCAGGTTGTTCTACTGACTCTTACTGGATTTGTGGAGTGGGTTTCCATTGTGCATATCATGGCTGATGAGGGTAGACTGCTGCAGATACTCTGTGTGCTGCTGGGCAATGCCACTTTCCAGTGCGCTGCTGCTGAGTGTTTGTTGCAGGTTGTCAATAGGAAAGGAAAGACTGAAGATAGAAAACAGTTGATGATTCTCTTTACCGAGGAGGCCCTTAGGTGTATCTACGGATCTGCTGCTGCACCACCTCCAGCGGTGCAGGAGATGCATGAGAGGCACTATTTATTTTTGAAAAAATTGACCCAGGTTCTCACTGGGATGGCAACTCAACTGTGCACCCTCTGGGGCAAGGACGAGCCCGCTAACCAATCTTCCATCCGGCCAGCGCATTTCAATTTATTCCTGGACACAGTCCTCTCCTTCACTATACACTCCAGCCTAACTCTCAACCACCTAGCCAATACAATTTGGATAATGCTCTTCAGACACGAACAAATAAAGACTGACAGTCTCCTTCTGACCTACGTTCCCAAGTATATCGAATATACAGGACCAAAATTAATTAAAGTCGCCTATCCGGTGAACCACAACCACAACAACGACTATGGTACCATCAACGGAATGACAGCCTACTGCCTGAGTGATTATGACTCCGAAGATGAGTTCCGAGTGTTCCTTCATCGTTTCCGGATGGATCTGTTGGAGGGTGTACGCCATGCAACGATGGTAGCACCCTTGGTAACCTTCGCCTACGTTCAACACTGGTTGACAGCAAAGATAACAAAGGGAATGCTGAATCTACGGTATAAAAGCGATCCAAATGACCCTGAGTACTTGGAGTGGGAAGCACTTGCGCAGGCGCTTGACTCAGTAATCTCCAGGATTCTCCTTGTCAGTGAACGCCCAAGTGTGCAAAATGGTCTCCAGCTCCTTGAACTATGTCTCGGTTATTCGCCAGACGACCCCTGGTTGCTCTCAGCACTTTTATCCTGCATCTCAGCGCTCTTTGTATTTCTATCAATGTCCACTGGCTCAATGGCAATGCCAGGTGTTGCCATACTGCCACGTGTACTTGAGAAAATATTCGCAGCACTTGTCTACGAAGGCCCTGAGGATAGAAAACTTCCAGGACCTGGGAACCGTTCTAAAGCGACTAAGTGCGTGAGGAGACATGCTGCCAGTCTGATGGTTAAAATTGGTCTAAAATATCCTCTTCTTCTTCTACCGGTTTTCGAGCAGATACACACGACAGTCAAGGGATTAATGAGGACTTATAATGATAGAAATGATGCAAAAGACAACTCCAGCCAATTAACAAGAATGGAGAGTGTGGTACTACACGAAGCTCTCTTAATAATCTCCAATCATTTCTGTGATTACGAGAGACAGACTCGATTTATTGCTGAAACAATTGGAGAAGCCTCACCAAGGTTCATTGTCATTGGTCTTGAGGCTTTCAAAGGACCTTTGGAACTGATGAGATTCGTAGGATTAGATCGACCAGCAGTATCACCTGAAAACAATAACAGTGAGGAAGAAATAATAATTCAGAATAGGGCAGACTTGATGTACTGCCTGTCTACTGTCCTCAGTGTCGTCAAACGTTGCTCGACACCTGAGGATCCTGATCGAGCTGCTCGAGGAGGATTCGTTGCTGCTTTGAGTGAAAGTGGGAACCCAGTATACCGAAATCCAGCTGCTCCACATATCATCCCCATTTTACCTACTTTATTCGCTCTAGTTAAAGCCATGAATACATTCTTCACACCAAGTGCACTGGCATTATTGGCAGAGGATTATAAGAAGGCGCATGATCTCCTGGAGTTCGAGAAAATTCATCTAATGGGAATCACTGTTTCCAATATGCAGGCCAACAATCTCTATCAACAGGCAACGGAACATTCTAATTCTGATCATAATGATCAATCCTCAACTGCCCCTTTACCAAGAATGCAACAGTTTCTATCAACAATCCATGATAACTGCTATCACATGCTTGGCAGTGGCTGCCACACTCTTGGCAGAGATTTTTATCAATTACCTGGACTTGCACCAGCTCTACTCAACTCAGTCTTCTACAACATGGAGCTCATCCCTGATTATCGACTCCGTCCAATCATTCGTGTTTTCTTGAAGCCTTTTATCTACTCATGCCCACCAGCTTTTTATGAGAGTGTACTGGTCCCCATATTGACACACGTATCGACGCACATGTGCCAGAGACTGAGTGCAAAGTGGCAGTACCTGACGAGGCTGCATGAGGAGAGGTATGGACATGACGAAGAAAATCCGACTGATGCACAGGAGGTGCTTGATGATATGCTCAATAGAAACTTGACTAGAGACTTTGTCGATGTCTTGAAGGTGACATTGGTCGGGGGAACGACTAGTGATGCTTCCCCTCCAGACTCTAGCATGGATGACAGTTCTGGAATGGCTGTAGATCAGACTACACCATCTCCTGCTGTCAGGGGAAATAGTATTGTTGCTGAAGTTGTTAGTGAACTTGGGAGTTTTGTTCTAAGACATCCCTCTACCTGTCACAGTATCGTTCTTTGTGTACTTGGTGCGTTGTCTTGGAACGATTCTAATGCTAGCCTAAAAGCTACGATGCTGACTGGACCCATTGTCAGGGCACTGGTGGCTGATGGAAGTTTAACTCCAGCTATGGCTGCTCATATTATGGTCGCAGTCCTCCAAGGACTCCAGTTACATGGCCAACATGAGGCTAATCAGGGGTCGCTGATAACTCTGGGGGCTCAAGTTTACGAGTGTCTCAGGCCTAAATTTCCGAACATTATTCAGGTCATGCAGCAGATTCCTGGGGTCAATCCTGCTGATCTGCAGAGGTTTGATGAAAAAATGACGGTCAGCAGCAAGGGGAATAAAGTGGAGAAGGGGAAGAAGGAGCTATTTAAGAAAATTACAAATCAGGTATGGCATAGCATGATTATTGTTCTACCGTGCTATAAAATTCCCTTACTTCTGTGACGAGTATAATTGAATCAGATTTCGTTGCAAAGATGGAACGAGTACCTACGCTACTATTCGCATGCAAATCATTAAAAAAATAGGAACTACTTAACCAATCAAGCACAAATTTAGGTTTCAATGGTAACAATTAAACGTTTTTTAAAGGAGCCATTGACTTAGGTCTGGGTATAATGACATATACAAATCAAAACAGTCATTTTCCAAAAATGTAATTTCTTCATGCTTTATAATCGGAGAATCTGAAGAAATATTCTCACAGCCTCTTGTTTGTGAATAAACTATCATTTATTTATGGAGGTTTTCGCCAATTATTGGTATGGTTGTGTACATTCAAAAACTTAATTTTGTTGAGGCTTGTTATATAGCTTTCTTATCATTCAAAAGGCGTAAAAAAAAATTTACAATTTTTTTCAAATTTTATTACGACCACAACGTTAATTTTTCAAATTTGTGAGTTTTTTTATAAAATTTTGCGTCTCAGCAGAGGTCAATTCAGTAGCGAAGTAGTAAAAGGAAATAAGTGCATAAAACGAAATTTTACAGGAACCGCAAAAAAAATTGTATCACGGGTTACTGGCTTTCGAACTCTCTGCAGTGTCAATCAATAAAAACTGCTGGTTCATATTTTTTATGCACTTATCTCCTGAATTTTTTTAATCTGACGAGATAAGTCAATTTATCCCATCGTAGGATAAAAATTTTGGAGACATCTATTGAATACGTATAAATCATTGCAAAATTCACAATACAGTATGTCAATTAGTTGTTCTTCATTGTTGGAACAAATATAGAAGTAATATGTTTAATTTACGTAGAGTTCAAAGACATGTAATGAATATCACAATGAATTTATCGATCGACGTGTGTCATTTGCGACATTCTTTATTGACTGTTTGCCATTGAGGACTAATCGTAAACTCGATAGATACTTTCAATCGTCGTGATCCTTATCGTCACTGGGCGAAAAAATACCTGGATTTGTGAGGACAAGTTCGTTGTCTTTCGTCATAAGATTTTCGTAAAATTCATGACTGTCTCCATCAATGAATTAAAGAAGTTTCAGTAAATCTTGTTTTTTCTCCATCTTGATGGGATTAGGCGAAGTACAAAGACGATTCTCTTGAAAAAAAAAAACAGTCGAAAGAGCCAAACATGAAAGACGAGCGCATTAATCAGAAGGGTAACAAAGATCATTTTCAAGGGTTACGGGGTCAGCCGTAAGGATTGAAGATGAGGGTCAAAAATCAAAAGATTAAATAACGGTCGAAACAAAGTTTCAGAAATGAGCAAAACAATTAAGGGTCACGCGAGTCGAGTGTGAGGGTCAGAATTAAGGGTTAAAACTAAGGGTCTCAAGGGTTAGGCACGAGGATCATAAATAAAGGTTACAGATGAGAATCAGAAATCACAAAATTAGATGAGGGTCGGATGGGAGGTTCAGAGAGAAAAGTCAAAAAATGTGACTCAAAACCAAGGATCAGACGTGAGGGTTATAAATAAGGGTCAAAGATGATGGTCGGAAATTGCAAAATGAAATAAGCATCAAAAGGAAGCATAAGAAATGAAGGTCACATAATAAAAAAGAAGAGAGGCAAAATTCAGAATCACGAAGATAGGGTGCAAGGGTCAGAAACAAGGGTGAAAAGTCACATTCCTTCGATTGAGCATAGTGCCAATTAGCTCACATCGTCGGCAACGCTTTAACCCCTTTCCCCAGCTCGGTTGAAGATGTTTTTCTTTCCTTATCCAAAGTGACTAGTTTTACAAAACATTAAAAAATTAGACTGGGACTCGGATTCGTTCTATCCAAAAAAAATTTTTTTCAACTTTCATTTTGAATTTTTTTTTTAATTTATCATTTTTTAGCCCGGTGGCTTGGCGCAGTGGGTAAGTTTGTTGCCTCACATGCGAAAGGTTGCGAGTTCAAATCCCGCCCGGGTAGAATAGTGCGATCTAACCATTTAAAGTCTTGATCACCATCGCAGTATACCCTAACCGGGTCGAAGCGATGTAAAATAACGATAAAAAAAAAATTCTCATTTTTCGATTTTTTCATTCAAAAATTCATTGTTTATGGTCTATAAATGGTTAATAATGGAAGAAATGAAAAAATGAAAAATAGAGAAAAATTGTTAAAAAGGAAATTTGAAAAAAAAATTTGGACAGAACGAATCCGCGTCCCAGTCTAATTTTTTAATGTTTCGTAACAAACAGCGTGACAGAAGTCATTTGACAGATTGCATATGACTGCTACTCTCCACGTATTTTTTTTCTGCTGACATCAAAGCACACATTTTGAAAAAAAATTGAAATCGGACCAATAGTTTTAGAGATATTGAGTAAAAGAGTTTCACATACAAAGTTGAATATATCCGAAAGTACTAGTCCGATTTCGTTCATCCAATTAAATAGGTATCATCATGACGAGTATCGTAAAAAAATCGAATCGGTCGAATGGTTCAGGAGATATCAGCAAAAAACAATTTTTGAAGAATAGCTATATCTTAGGAACCGCTCATCCGATTCAGCTGAAATTTAGCATAAATTTGAATCTCAGTAGTCCAAATTAACAGTCAGAATTTCAGCATTTTTGCCCTAATAATTTTCGAGTTATGGGGACAGTTCTGGACATACGAACACACATGTGCACACAGATACCTGCACACATACAAAAAATTTTTAAAAACATCATTTCTTCACGTTTCATGACATTTCTAAGCATTTCCACCCAAAATTAAGAAATCGAAAAAAATCACGATTACAAGCTTCCATTCGGAAGCAAAAATAGTCACTTTGGGTAAAGAGATAAAAAAATCTCCAATGAAAGTGGGGGAAGGGGGTACTGCGCATATTTTTCTGCTTTTTTGGCGATTTTAAAGCATTTCCGATGATGTCAGCTAATTCGTACCATGCTCAAGCGAAAGAACGGAAAATTTTCGTCGGAAATACTTATTGAACACCCGAAATAAAATTTACCTGTGTTGAGATGCAAAATTTTCTCAAAAACTCATAAAACTCAAAAATTAACGTTGTGGGCATAGTAAAATTTGCAAAAATTTTTTTTAGGCCTTTTGAGTGATAAGAAAGCCATATAAGAAGCCTCAACAAAATTAAATTTGTGAAGGGATAAAACCATACCAACAAAGGAACTATTATTAATCAAATTTAAATAATTCAATGCGTATGCGTACAAAAATTATATTTTCAATGTTTGTACCAAAAAAGAAAAACTAAAAATCACGTTTTCTTCTTTTATGTTGCAGTTAATCGGTAGAAGTGTAGGCCAGTTATTCCGAAAAGAAGTAAAGATTGACAATTTACCTCGTCTCGAAGTAAGTAAACCACCGCAAATGCGGGTCGATGAGTTATCGAAGAACGCAGCAGATACAGGTCTCACAGCACTTTTCGCTGGGCCCACGTAGCAGCAGCGTCTCATTGACAGCCGTACTCTTCACGGTTGGTCAAACTCAATCACAAACTACAATCTATTATAATTGTTGGCAGCATGTCTATTATTATTACGCTGCACAGTGTAAGTGAATAATATGTATGAACGTCGAACAGGGACATAACATTGTTTTTCTCTCAAGTGATCGAATCAAGTGAAAAATTCTAGTACGAATAAAAGGCTGGAAGATGAAAATAAATTCCAGCGGAAACGTGTTCGGCGTCTACGCTGCGTTATAAAACATTAAATGTTAGATTTTTTTCTTATTTATTTTATCAAAAAAAAATCTCAAATAGATAAATCTTCAGGAAAAATTTTCAGTTAAAACCATTGAGTTATCATTTGGGTAGATTGTAGTATTTCTAATTGAAATAATCAAACTAATTTTAAAAAGAAAATACCACTTCTGTTTTGCTCCCAATGCGGGACTAACGGAAAAGTATTAATCGCCACACTATGTGAAGTCGGCAACTCCGCTATCAAACACGAGCTATATCACGTGTTTGTTGCAGTTGTGCATGAAAAGTCATGCATTGTTTTTTCTCATATAAAAGTAGCAAGCCTATCACACTTGATTGGAACGGAGACGTATGTATCCTCGTATTTAAGGGAGGACAATAAAGACTTCATCAGATATTTGTCAAAACTGTCGCCGTCAGAATAGATGTCAAATGCACAACAAGATCCCATAAGTGATGAACATTTTTTTTCTTCAGCATAGTTAAGTCACTAGATTTTGTAACGCGGTACAATTGCATTTGACATTAGTTGAAAAATATAATTTTAAAGTGAGTATGCAGTACACCATATTTCATTCCTCGAATGTAGATTCGCATTTATTATTATTATTTTTTTTTGTTTTTATAAAACTAAAATTGTATAGCTTTGTAATTTTGCATCTATTTGACTAGAAGGAATTAGAGGAGGCAATTATTTCAGAAATCACTAGGTCCAGGGGAATTTATCGTGGGATTTTTTGTGTGGCCAATTAAATTTTCTACAAAAGAGGTCTTTTGTCAAATTCTGCTGGAGCTACTTATTTTTTAAGTACCCATCGGATCTGTATTCAAGTGGTCGAACATCATTAGTCTACATATCTCATTCTGTTAATTATGAGTATTTCTTGAGAATGCGCGCTTTCAATTTTCTTCAAGTTACAAAAAAAGGCTCCTAAAATCATTCGTTTCTGAACCTATTGCATGATAAATAAAAATGTTCTATGTGACATATTACGCTAGAAATAATTTGCATGTCATATTCCAACGTATCTTTTTTACTACTTCACCACCGAATTGTGAATTCGCAAATTTAAATTTTAAGAGTAACAGGAAGTAACTAGAGATTTTAAAAAAATGTAAATTTAGCTTATTTTAAGTTTCCGTGGGCTAATTGCATCAAGTCCCGTTAACCAAATAAATCGGCAGAATAAATTTAATAGTGCAAATAGTGATTATAAATCAATACACAACTTTTTTTATTAAATATTTTCGATGAACTTTCGTTCAAAATTGATCTGCAGATTATTTATTTATTCCGATACCTAACTGAAGATTTTCTTAAGGGTATTATGGTGGGGTCCATAGCTGGAAAAAAAAGCAGAGAATTCAATGAAAATTGCTGGACAGATTATTCGATCCGTGCAGCACGGCCCATATCAATCTGCTCAGAAAAAAACCCTTGGGGTGAAATCATTTGAATAAATTTAAAGAATCGTGAAATTAATTTAAAGAAATGAAAACAGAGAAATGATTCTTCATCAGGTTTATCTGTACATAATAAAGTTTATAAGGGTATTTGAAATGAATAAAAATTCATCAAGTATGAATGGAAGAAAATGCTGTCAATGTTTCATCCACTGCTGTACAGTTGGTTCGTAAAGCTGCCAATACAATCAAGAAGACAAAACAAAATGAAACGAAAAAAAATTGTATATATTGTATTGTAATAAAGATGAGATGTAAAAGGAATAAACCATACTGGAAACATAAAAAGAATAAATTGTCACAATTTTGTTCTCCACAAACGATGACTTTAATTATCATATTCATCCATCGAAAAAAGAACATTCTTTCGAATTAAATTTTATTAGATCGTTGTTTTGAGTAAGTATAACAACATTTACATACATATATACAAAATATAATAATTATTTATAAAAATTTTAGAAAATTTTGGCTGCATCAGTGTTTTTATCTTGAAATTAACCGAATTTGAATCCAAAAAATTCATCCACTTGAATTGACGTCTCCCTGATTTGTAAGTATGAATGTGAATTTGAGAAATCTGTACATTATCATTGTCGTCAATAAATAAATTACGTTTATCCAAATTATTCTTGATCTAAATGCAAAAATGATTCCACTCAGATTAGTCTTATTTTATTGAGATTATGGTTTTGAAAAATCCATTCACTTTTCAATAAAAACTTTTGTGTTAATGGATGCACAGTGCAAAGATACACAGAAATGATAAAAATCAACGATAAAACGTTAATGTAATTAAAACATTAGTTGAGAAAAATATTTACAATTTCTTTTAGTCAATCAATCGAAGAGAAAACTCACTCTTGAATGATTGGCGCTCGTGCCTGATTCCAGAAAATATAATATCAATCAATTTTTATTGCTTTCTCAATAAAAAATATACTTTCGTTCGATAAATCTTCGAGATTCAATATGAGATTTTTCAATACTTGAATAGATCTTTATACAGAAGAACAGGCACGTTCATTTATACTAGATATGGCACCCTTATCCTTCAATCACTGGTACAATCATTGTTGGAATGTTAAAATAACACACAATTTTTGTTACTCCGACGCCTTACGGTTCTTACAAAGTAATTATTTCTTTTTCAAACCAGAATGGAGTAATCAAATAAATAATTGTTACGCATAAATAGTTAAATAATCGGAAATTTTCACATTCTTTAATTATTATAATATGGAGATGAGTAGCTCATTCTACAGATATTCTCAGATAAGTAACGGATGAACAATTTATACAACAGAAACATTCCTACGTGAATGAGGGTAGAATCGGTTTTGTTAGAATTCGTTAGTTGAAAAGTCATAAAATATCTTAATTTCAAGACTTTCGCGTCTATGATTGTTGATATCATTGGCCTCCGGATGGATGCCACGTTTGGTTTTAGCATTTTGCCGACGTTTTACAAAGATTGCAATCTACATATGCAGGGCTATGAGCTCCCATTCTGAGCTACGATGTCTGCTGCAGGTAGTCCTTATATGCTCTCCCTTCCATTGAAAGTAATGGTGAGGGCAGGGAACGAATGGGGGGTTCAGCTAATCATTTTTTAAAGGTCATCAGCTGGTCCATCAAAAAACCGGGAGGACGGTTTTCCAAATGAAGTTCATTTCATATTCTCTGTTCCTGTGGTCCATTGGCCCTCAAGATTGTTAGAGTTTTTATGAATTTCCAAGCCCTCTCGATATTCCCTTTCGAAGTATCCTTGAGATTTTGCCAGCATTCTAGTTTGATCGTACAGGATAGTATGGACAATATATATTGTATAGATTATATATTGATCGATATTATATTGTCTCAAAACATCTGCTGGATGAACACTAGGCAGTATGTCCAATGTCCATTCAGTGTTCAGCCAGGACAGACTGTTCAGTGAGAAAAACAATTATCTTTGCCAAATCGACATCTCCTGATAAAACAAGAGTATTTCTAAGTCTCACTTCTAAGTCTCACGGAGCTCGCAAATAATTTTATTTCTCTTCCAATGTGAACTACTTCATGTTATTTCTACTTTTTGATGTATTCATACCATTTATACAACTGTCCGAGGAAGGGAAATCTGCGATTTCAGACGATTTTTCATATGAATTTTGAGATACCCTTGTTTTAATAATTAAATTGAAATATTCCCTCGTTTTATTAGGAAACGTCGAAATATTCATTTACTTGAGAAAAGCATTTATTTTGTCAAAATCGTATTTCTCCAATCGAGTCATTCTCAGATGAGCCTAATTAGGTTTTAATGATGACAATCATGTTGCTCTAGAGGATGACTATGATACATATGACCTTGGATGAACTCCTCCAATGATTATTCATTTTTCCTAAATTTTCTAATTTTCTATAGGGAAGAACTTCGATTAATTTTTTAATGTTTATAATTATTGAGGGAGTTCACTCAAGGTCATAAGTAACATGATTATCTTCTAGAATAATATAATTGTTATAATTGAAACAAAAAGAGAATTGCCTGAGAACCTCTTGACCGGAGAAATACGGTATTGAAAAAATGAATACTTCTCTCAAGTAAATGGATATTTGGCAAAATTAATTTTTTTTCTCAGTGTTCTACGTGTACTCGTCTTCCTCCCAGTTTCTTCAATGTACATTATTGTGCTCAGGAGTAGTCTCGGATCCTTTGTACTCGGCAACCGTCTTTCCATGTGGCCAGAGGACAAAGGTATCATCCACATACCTGAACCACACAGTAAGTTTCAGAGATGAAATATCGAAGAAATATCGAAATTGTCTGGAGGTCCATAAAAACCCTAAAAACATCAACAGGGACAGAGTATATCAAGGCAAAACCCATTGGGAAAACCGTCCTTTTGGTTTTTAGGTGACCAGCTCATCAATTAAATGATTTACATGATCGGCTGAACACCGATCCCCCCATCCAAATGTTAAAGGTACAAAATCAAATGCACAAAAATTCTATATTACAATTAATCAGGCTTTCGATCTATAAAATTAGGCCCAGTTTTGATTCAAAAAAATGACAAATTTTTCCAACTCTCTCCCAAGTATTCCCTGTAAGAATGAAAAATTGACTAAGTACACTCACTCCTCATTCCACCTGCTCACTAAAATTATTGACTCATTGATTCTTAAAATGAAAAATAAATATTCTCACTCCTTTTTGCCAATCAAAAGATAAACGTCCATATTATCTTTCCCCTTAACATAAACCTGTCCCCTGGGTTCAAACTCATATCTCTCCTCCAATGCCTCGAGACAATTACTGGTCAGTTGAATTCTGCCAGCAACACCCGTAGAATCCATCCTAGACGCAATATTAACAGCATCACCCCAAATATCATAATAAAGCTTAGTTGCTCCAATGACCCCGGCAGTGACATCTCCAAAATTGAATCCCACTCTAAGTATCAATCTGAACCCCAACAGATCTCTATTAAAATCATAAATAACTTTGTGCATTGCGACAGCAAAATCTAGGAGTTGAAATAAATGTTGAAAAGTGTGACTACTCTGATTCCTCACTTGTGGATTAAGCCCACTAGCCGCCATGAATGTACTCCCAATTGTTTTTATCTTCTCGACATTTGAGAACTCATTTTTCTCTAGCAACTCATCAAAATCTCCAATCAATTCATTCAAAACTCTCAAGTACTCCTTACCCCCCAGATAAGACTCATCATAAAGCTCATTAAAATTAACAATGCTAGCAAATATAATTCCCACTGCTTTATGATTCTGCGAATATTTGGCTGTTGTTTTCAACTGATCCGCAACATATTTGGGAATAATATTATGTAACAACCAATCAGCTTGATTTTTCATTGACTGTACACGTGATTTATCCCTAGCAGCAACTGCATTACCATGAAAACTCAAACGATAGCTAATCTCAAATTCACGATTTAAAAACCACACGAGTATCAAAAGTAGTATAATATCAAGAAATATCTCTTTATCATAAAAACCATCGTTGTACTGTAATTTATGTTTCTTATCGATCGAATTGGTGGAAATAATTGTTCTACTTACATTGATAAAACTATTATTCAATGTTTCAGGGAATTTCAACGTTAAATCCATTGGTTCTAATATATCTGAGCTGTTTAAGGCATTTTGTGGTTTCATTGTATCAATATCAGTTGATCCAACATTACTGACCATAAAAATTACAAAAAGTACTGCTGTAAATGTCACGAGAAAGTTTTTCATCCAACAATTTAACTGCGTAAAATTGCAAAAATGTACAAAACCCACGAAAATTAAATAACAGTAGTAATAATCGATGTGATTCGTCAGACTCGATTCAAAGCCATTTCTGCAGTTGAGATTCATGAAGATTGATATGATGGGAAGGCTTACCAGAAGAGCTCCACAGCAGTGCCAGGGATACCATTTTGTAAAGAATTTGAAGATTTTCTGTGTCGCAATAGCGTATGCTGAATTCGGATTTACTAATTGACGTATACAGCGAGTTACGACGAATACCTGAATTACTGTGGCTATTGCGCAGAATATCACGAAGTAAATGGTTGGCTTGCAGAGGATTAAGAGAGAGGCTGTGATTGCAGTGTAGACGAGGGCTGAGACGAGGATGTCAAAGTAGGTGTTGAAACGTGAGGTAGCTAGGGTGGGTGGATTATCCCCTACACTTTCACTCGTCTTGTGGGCGTTCTCACGGTATTCCTCCTCCATTTCTTTGTTCTTGAAGAAGAGTGTTACGCGGGAGAGGGGAGGCTTTACAAAGTAGGAGCGTTGAGAGGACACGTTATCCTGAACACATCTGGAATAGAAGACAATTGCATGAAATTAGGAAGAAAATTGTGATAAACACAAGGAGAACTAGTTGTTTGCTCCCGAATGGAAGCATTGTAATCGGTCAAATTTAAGTTTTGGATTTGTTGTTATATGGACCTATTATTATCCAAAAAGTCCGAAAATGCAATTTTTGAACCGTGTTCGTACGTATGTGTGTATGTATGTATGTGTGTGGTAAAGTTTTCCTTCAATTCTTCGCTAATAAATCCAAGGAATTAAATAATTCCTTTTTTTTTCAAAAATATAAGTATTGTTGAGGCCTATTCATAAAATTTAATTCATCAATTAGTTTTTTAATTTTTGAATTTTTTCAAAAATCGGTTGTCCCACGATAACTAAAAAAAAATTTCTGAATTGATTGAATGATGATTTAAAAAATTTATTTTCATAGCAATAATTGTTATTTTGATTTAGTTGAAAATTTGCAAAAAAATTTGTATTTTTTGAAAATCATAATGCCCGGGATATCTTTGAATATCGTGCTTTAAATGAATTCAATTATAGCTTAAAATGTTTGACTTAATGCCATTACGCCGAAGTTGAAAGATGATTACAACAGCTATATTGCAGTTGATTTGATTTTGATGATGAAAATGATGAAAATGAAAATGATGATTGTTGAAAATGTCGAATTTTTCATAAATTTCCCTGAAAGTGAGCTTTCTGATGGTTTCTTCAAATGTGATATTTCAAATTTAATCAAGTATGTATAAATATAAAACTTACCGAATTAACTGAAGATCAGACTGCTTCCGCAACTTATGAAAGCATGCCCCGAAGGTATCAGTGACAGCAGGAGGGAACGGATAAGGAGGATAAGAGGGAGCCCCAGAGGATGAGGGATCTTCCCTAGAATTAAGCGTAGAACTTGACGTATAATATCCGCTGACTCTCTGCCCTAGCAAATCACCCTGGGCCAATCCATTCATTAAGAACAGCTGTTGTTGAATGCTGCTGCGTCTACTATTGCTCCTGATTCCAGAGTCCTTTCTGCTGCAAACTGAAGACGCATGACTCAATGGTGCTTGTTCATGATTCGACAGAGGACTAATGGATCGAGGATTAGGATTCATCTCCACCAAATTATTCACAGGGGCTCCATTCTTCACATTATTTTCGTCCTCCATGTTGATAACTTGCGATTTATTCTTCTGGGTTTGAATTGTTTTGTTTACCTCACTCTTAAGGGGAGTCATTTCTTCGGTGGTCCTCTGCCTCTGCAGATATTTCCACGGTTTACTCTTTTTTTTTTTACCACAACTAGCAGTGCTCGAAGGACTCTGACTAACGTCCTTCTCAAATTCTCTACCTTCGACATCCTCATTGAATTCATCAGCCTCACAATCCAGAATACTTGGCAATGAATTGGCCTTAATCCGATAATTATTAGCATTAGTAAGCATGTGTAAATAATGCTGTCTAGGTTTTGATTGATCATTGCAAGATGAAACTCGTTGACGTGCATGTAAAATTGGTGATATGCTCGTTGATATTGGGCCTATATTATTCATGAAGTTATTTATGATATCTGACTTTCGACCCTTTATAAAAAATGTCTTAACACCCTTGACAGTCTCGCCTTCCTCCGTTAGGTACTGATCACCGAGAAAACTCAATGTTTTTTCGCTGAGATGAACCCTCCCAGCTATTCCTGTGCTTTCTAACTTATTGGCAAGAGTAACATCATTAGACCATACATCAAATTTGAACCTTTTGGTACCTACGATTCCACAGAGAACCGTTCCAGTGTGCACTCCTACTCTCATGTTAACTCCCTCTCTTCTCTCTATATCAAATTGATTTATAGCCTCGATCATCGCCAAACCCATGTCTACACAACACTTGGCATGGTCCAATCTCGGCTTTGGACACCCACTAACGCAATAGTAACAGTCCCCGAGAGTAGAAATCTTCTCACAACCATTCTGTTGACATAATTCATCAAATCTCTCGAATAAATCGTTGAGAATCCCCACTAATTCTTCGGCTGTTTTGTTTGAGCTCATTCTAGTGAAGCCAACGATATCAGCAAAAAGAATAGAGACATCCTCCATGGAGTGCATATTGAATGGACGAAAGAGAGACCTGAGGTCTGCGTTATTGGAAGGAATAGAACCTTTTTTTATTGAATTTTCTCGCTCTCGTTCTCGCTCGCTCTCTTCCATCAACCAATCTGCGACTTTTGGTGGCATAACTGAGTGGATCATCTTTTCTTTTAGTTGCTTCTCCATTTCTAGTTGACGACGGACAAGGAGAGATTGTCCTACTTTCATGAATGTTCCTCTCATTCTTACAAATGTCATTATTAGAATGTGAACTCCAATAATGTGAATGCATAATTGTGTTAGAATTCTGATTGCCAGGAGCGTTGAGTTGAACTCGATTGGATCATTGTTGGTGGATTTCTGATGCTGGTGATAAAGATATGCGGTTAAAAATTCAAAGATGATAGAATAAGTGGTGCAGACTCCGAAGCAAGCGTACAGAGGCATCGGAATGACGGTGTAGATGAGCAGTTGGATTTCTGAGCAGAGGGAAAAGTGACCCACGAGGCTCAATCCCTCGTTTTCCGTGGCTCCATACGGTGGCAAGAGGACTAGAAGAAGTAGAGACGAGGCGCAGAGAATGGTGGAAACTACCAGAGATGTAGGGAAGATGTAACGCCTGTAGTAGTCTCTTGATGTCCAATAGAAAACACAGAACATAAGGACGAAGATTGTGGTGAATATGCTTACAATTGTCGGCCATAGAGATGTTGAAGTTTTTATTCCCAAAGTCATGAAGTAGATTAGCCAACTGAGACAGATTAGGAGGACGTATAAAAGTGCATATCTGGAACAATGGGAATGTTTATTGTTAGGTGGGATGAGGAAAAAGTTACCTAGCAGGTGATGTGGGGGATTTATTTCTATACGTAAGAATATCTAGAAACTTTTGAGGCAATCATTCATTTTGTTGCAACCAGAGTTGCCAGATTGAAGATTTACCACCAAATGAGCGATTTTCGAAGTTCCTTTGGCGTATAAATATGGACGTTGGCGGTTTGGCGATAATTTGGTGGGTTCGTAATATTTAGGGCTCGAGGGAAAAAATATTATATTTAAAAAATCTTCATATGATAAAACATGGTACGTATTCAATTCTGCTGTTCTAACTTTATTTAGCCATCGTTTCCGACAATAAGGAGCAGAAAATATCCTTTCAAATGTCTCTTAAGTTTCCCAATTGTTTGTTCATCGATGTTTTGACACACTCCCATGATGACTTTATTTCCATTTGTAAATCTGATTTTTTGGCGATCTTTCGTATCCAAGTGGCCACATCCGAGTGATGTAATGTCTCTACAGAGGTTTAACGAATCGTCTTGATAAAATCAAAGTTTATTACATTAAACATGCACGTATTCATGCATAGCCTGCTGAAAACATGGGCAATTTTTTGGGGGATCATTAGCAGTGAAGGGGATCACTGGTGAACCCCCTGAAATATCTGGCAAACCTGGTTTCAACTGCGCTCATAAAATTTTCAGATTTGCTACTTTCAATATATTGACAAAATTAGTTGCAATCTGGATCCGAAATTCATCGATTTTTACCCAACTGAGGGTGGTTAGGAAGAACTATTTTTCATGATGAAACGAAACATTGGAAAATGGAGATCATAAGAAGTGAAATTAAGGGAAAAGTTACTAGTATAAAATTTCTGTCATAAATCAGGTGAAGGTAAAAAAATTGTATAATATTTTTTACGCAAATATAACGTCTTCTGCACACAATGCTAAAAATACCCTGCAAGTTGATGAAAACTAAACGTTCTTTACAACGGCAAAGCCCCTAAACAAGATAAATAGAGTACAATCTAATGACAAGAAGAATTGCGATAAGGAACTCGGCAAATAGCATTAGTTTTTCCTGTTATTTTCAATCTTAATCATCTCACCTGAATCTCAATTTGAGCTGAAGAAAAGCACTAGTTTTATACTGCTCTTCAAGTATTTCTGAATCGAACTTTGGATTCCACCATGATCTTGGCGCAGCTCTTTCAAATGGCACTGGCAGGCCAATTCCACAGCATCCAACCCCCTGTCCACTGTGAGCCAGATAAGTCTGTATGTATGGCGCCAGTGACATATGTATCTCATCTCTTTCATTATCATTGCCATCTTCATTATCATCTTGATGTCCAGGTATAAAGCACACTGATGAATTCCGTTCCTTCTCTACTTCTTGTATCATACTGACCCACTGACAATTTCAACGATTGCACGGAGCTCTCAATTTTTCTCATAATCCTCACTTTATTAATTAATATCTGCAATAAAAAATATAGAGCATTGTAAGAAAAAATGAAAAAAAAAAATTTATTCAACTCTACTTTAATCTCCAAAAAAATGAAAAGCAATAAGGAGGAGTTTCATTTTTTTCTCTATTTCATGGAACAATGAAATGCATGTGATTCACCGTTTTCCAAAGCCCAGACTGGAAATTTCAAATTTCATGTGCAGAATATCTCCACCAAATCATAAATCCAACAAGTGAACTGTCGTTTACAGCAGCAAGATAATATCATACCATATCCTGTCTTGTTATCGTAGTTGATTAATCAACCCCATTAATCATGAAAACATTCACAAAGGTACATAAATAAATAATGTACAATAAAGTATCGCTTATTTAAAGTTTAATAATTGTGTAGTTATTATTGTCGGCAATATATTCAACATATCTCAGTTACACGTAACGTTTCATAAACATCATCGTAATTGTACTGCGCCGAGTGATTGATATTTTTCCACCGAAAGAGCAATAGTCAAATTTTGGTTTTTAAAATGGCGAAACAATATTTTTATCCTTTCTGAATAGATAGACAAGGTGTTACACTAACGCAGTATCTCATCGACACTGACTATGTGCATATATATATACTGATGATATGGTTCCCGCACGTCAAACACCCCACCACTAATCGACCATGGCCAGCCATCTTGATTTTAAATCTCTCGCCCCTCTACCCACCTCTACACACTCTACCCACACCCCCCAACGTCGGTGACAGTGCATCACTCGGTATGCGAATTGTGAAGTAAGACATGTGATTTTTTTCACTATTTGTAAACGTTGATTTCCGTTTTATTGTTGAATTTCGGGTCTTCTAGAAGCGATAGAAGTTTCTTGTAATCATCTGTGATATCTTGGTTTTGTAGATTTGGTAGCTGTTGACGAGACGCTCTGTCCAACAGAGCTTTTTCTTATAGTGCGAATGTCAGGAATTCTTCTCGTCCACTGAGTGCTACCTGCTTTGTAGGAGTGCTTCTTGCAATGGAAGATTTCCTTGAAATTATCACTAAGACGGAACGAAAGGGGATGGAAAAATGTTTGGAACGCTTTTGCAATGATGTAAGTTCTAGAATGATTATAAGTTTCTTTCTTTCCAAAACTACACTGAGAGAAAAACAGCAAGGTTCTCAAACAAGTCTTACTTGTGCCAAGAAAATCGTTTTTCGAAAATTATCAAAAAAGGATTTTTTTGTGCCAAACATGCAGAGAGTGCGCCGAGATGAAAAATGTTTGTCGCAAAATAGTTATTTTCAACACAAGGTCCACAAAGTATTTTCTGACGAATGTGGCTTTGTATAATCACATTCGTCAGAAAATACTTTTGGACCGTGTGATGAATGCAATTTTTCGTCAGAAGGCCCGTAAACCGCGATCAAACCGAGCGAAGCGAGGTTAGAATCGCGGTTTACCGGGTCTTCTCACGAAAATGGATTTAGTAGCCTGTAAAAAGTGTAAAACTATACAGAGGGAAATAACTAATTATTATATATAGATTTAGTAGTCAAAAAAAAAGTTCAGTAGCGAAATGGTAAAACAGTTGAAGTCGACTCATCTCCCAGTTGAGTTTTTCAGGAATATTTCCGAATCTAAGGGAGATAGCGAAATTTTCGTAATTACATTTGTTGTAGTTTTTAATCGACTTTACAAAACAGGTTATAATAAAAATTTTGCTACCTCCCTTAGATCTCAAAATATTCATTGAACATTGCCCAATAGTCAAAATTAACTACTTGTACTGTTTTACCACTTCGCTACTGAATTGCATTCACTGTACACATAAGAAATGTAATTCCTAGCACTACTCCTTCGTTACTCGATACTCCCATACGTATTTTGTTTGCGAAATTTTTCGTTTCGGCTATCTAATAATCACAGACAAAAAATGAACCCTTAAATGAAACAATAATAATGATATGATAGCAATGTCGTAACTTAGGGACAAAATATTTCTTGATAAATTTTCCTCTATGAGATATTTTCATCTTGAAAAGACACTGTCTGGTGTGAATTATCCGCCTCTTGAGCCAAATATTTCGTTGCTGTCGAAAGCAGAGCAATTATTCATATTTGAGACTTTCAAATTCGAACCGAACAAATTTGTTTTTGGCAATTTTCAACTAGCCATTTTTGTTGACCTAAACAAGATTTGTTTGAGAACATGTTTCTTTTTCTCTCAGTGTGCTGAGGATTTTAGATAATGGACTTCTTTATTACTTCACAATCAATGTATGAAGTTTTTGTGAATTCTTCTGGTTTTTGCTGTTCCAATTGACTATCTTTTCTTTATCCATTTAATAAGCAATAAAATTTTTCAGTGGATTTTTTTAAATTAATTGATGAGTTATTTTCATAGTCTTTCGGTTTTAGTATGCCACAAAGATGAAGTTCAATGAGTTGGATAAAGGCGATTTGCGATCTGCAGTCTGGGGTGGAATTTTCAGAAGTTTATCTGATGAAAATGAATTCAAAATTCATCCCAAGTGTTTGGAGGCACTCAGAATCCTCAGGTTCGTTTTTGTGGACATAATCTTTGATGTTTTATGGATATTCATCCAAATGAGTTCAACAAATGAGTTCAATTGTTTGCTTGAATTCACAGTCGGGATAAGACAGATCTAAACCAGTTGGTAACGGATGAGAGACTGAGCACGATCATTCATAAAGCAGGCGTGTCAGATGATCGTTTAGAACTTTCTTATGATGTAGGTATGGACAAATTCATCGCTTTAAAAAATATCTGAAAAAAATATTTCAAAGTTAAATTTTTCTCATTGCGACAATTACTGTTTTATGGTGAGAAAATATATTTAATGAATTGAATGAATAGTTTCAATATTTTTCACCACTTTGCACAATAAATTTCAGATTTGCTCAATTCATGAATTTCTAATTATTTCATGGATTTTGTTCGCAAGAAGAAAAGTTTGGTTCTCAATATATTTTTCATTTTGTCTTTTCCATGTTTACAGCCATTGTGGAAGCATTGAAACTCCTCTGCAATGTAATATATCATTCTGAAGTGATTCAAATTCAATTACCAAAGACAGAATGTCTGAAAAATCTAGTCAAGAGAATCCAGAATCAAAATTCGAAATGTCAATTCACCTACAACATTGGATTATTATTCGACATAAGACTTTTATTTCTGGCAACAGCATATGACTCAACGTGTCGGAATACTTTGAAAGAGGAAGTGAAAGCTGATGTCGAGTTGATAAGGACTTTGGATAGATTATCCCACGAAATTAAATCAGAGAAGAATGAGGAATTGACAGAGAATTATGTTGGAATTGCATGTGAAATATTGAAGGCACTTTTCAATTTATATCTAGACTCGGATGATTCTACAGATTGTCTAAAAAGTCAGCATGAGAAATTGGTTGACATTCTTTACACACTATTATTGATTAAATCGAAAACGGATGATATACACAGCCATACTGCGAATTTACTCACTGTCATTCCACTCAGCTCTTTTCGTCCAATTATTCCCTCCGCAAATCTAATAAAAAAAGTCGTGGGTCATCACGTTTATGAGAATATGGATATGACAGCAGTCCATCAATTATTATTGTTATTGGACAAGAGACTGGATAACCCTCAGAATTTAATTGACAATATTTCTCCAGTTGTCACTGCTCTGGTGAATTTGTCGAAGAGTCAACGATTGATACGAAAATGGATTAGGCAGCAAGTTCTGCCATCTTTGAAAAGACGGGATGTGATGCATAGGCCAGAAGAGGACCCTCATCTTAGAGGGAAATTATGCAAATTGCTAACGAGCCCAATTACTGAAATTCGAGATCTTGTGGCGGAATTTTTATTCATTCTTTGTAAGGAAAATGGTGAGATAAATACAATTATTCCAAGAACTGTTTATGAAAAATATATCGACATCCTGAGGACATTGCAAAATTTTTGTAGAACTTTTTTTTTCGTAGAAAAAATTGAGAGCTGGAAAAAAACGTTGTTCTGAAAATTCATCCATTTGCATTAGACTCTGAGATGTTTGTGAACAATTTTCCAACTCATTCATTGCATTAGTCAATTTTTAATCCATTGATTTCCAGTAGGAAGGATGATCAAATACACTGGTTATGGCAATGCAGCAGGGATGTTTGCTAATAAGGGACTATTGGGTGCAGTACAAAGGGAAACAGAATACTCATCCGAGTCAGGAGGGAGTGATACTGAGGAGTATGCTAAATACAAGGAAAATATAAATCCAGTTACTGGATGCTACGAGGAAGTTAAACCTAATCCACTTGACGGGATGACTGAGGAACAAAAGGAGCATGAAGTGCTGAACCTAGTGAACCTCGTGAACCAATTGACAGAGTAAGTCCATCAATTTAGTAGAGAAGTGGGCAGTCCAAGCGGATGATGCAAGTACGAAAGAGCTATTGTGGACGGTGTAAACGGCTCCGAAAAATTTACTATGAGACAAATAGAGGAGGGTGAGCAAAATGAAACAGTCGAAAAACGAGTATTTGACGCAATTCAAGCAAAAACATTTTTTATTAAATATTTTTTTTATCAACTTTTGTTTACTATTTTTGGAAGTATCAATGAGAATAATAATTTTCCATTCAGTATAATGGAAAAATATTGAGAAATTTTGACGGGAAAGATTTTGTCAATGGATTAATTGGAAACAAAATGAAATAGCAAAATCCAAAGTTCAAAGCAATGCCCAGGAGGAGACGCAGAGAGGGAAAAAGGAAAATGTGATGCTGAATTTCAATCGAATGAAAAAAGAAAAGTGTAATCGGCCTAATCTAATCAATTCAATTATAATCAATTGAATTATAAGACGAATAGAAAATTATTATTCTCATCAGTACTCTCAATAATAAAAAAATTTCATAAACAAATAAATTTTTTTCTTGTATATAATTTAATTCTCTCCAGAATCCATAATTGTATGGACTCTGCTGGGGGCCTATTCTCGCAATATTTCCGTGCACGGAAGTGGCTTCGTAGACGAATTGCGTATAGGAATCACATAGGCGTTCCGTCAACGTAGTCAATTCCGCGCACGGAAATATTTCGAGAATAGGCCCCCAGGAGAGAATTATTCCATATTTCTCCTGAGACGTACTGATTTATTGTTCTATTTCGAATCAATCGCTCAAGAACTTCATTAAAAATTTTCTAATGGAGTGTGAAAAAATGGAAAATTGAACAAAATTTTTATCATGGAATAGGTCTCTCCGTGAATCGAGAAATTGCAGAGATATTCACAGAATAATTTGTTGGTAGAGAATTTTCAACAAAAAAATTTATAGTTTCTCCTTTTCTCTCAGTAACGGAGTAATTCAACCATGCACCATAGGCGAAGATGGAAAACCCAGGCCAGTTCAACACGTCCTAGAACTTCAGGAAGGACTACCAAAGAGGCAAAAAGCTTTCCAGGATGATAATGATTCAGAATAAAATGCATTAACCGTCAATTTTAATTTTTAATTTATTGTAAAAGAACAAAGAACAACGTTACAAATTAAACAATTGGCAGGAGATAAGAAATATAACTTTCCAAAATCACATGAAATGTTTTTTTCTTCCATAATTTTTTTTGCCTTTTTTTTCCTTTTTTTTACAATTTCAGTAAATTGTGTTATGTGCTTTGGTGAGCATCACAATATCATGTGTATATTTATTGAAATTATACGTTATTTGAATAATGAATATTCATTTAATTATTGCATTGCAGCTATGCGCACACAAGAGTGTAATAATGGTATATCACCTTTTTCCATTTCTCATCTATTAATAAGTGTATAATGTAGGTATAGGTATATATATTTATGCCACTCATGCCTGAAACCGGCTGGATTACACACTCGACGCTTCGCGTCTCGTGTCTAATTCAGCCGGTTTCAGGCTTCGTGACATAAAATTTTGTTCAGTACTTGGTGGGAAATTTCGTCCTTAACGTGTGTGGTTACATCACTCGCCTTCGGCTCATGCTGTAAACCCCACACACGTTAAGGACGATATTGCCCCACATGTACTGAAATATACTATTTTGTATTTCTTTTGGCTTCGCTTGAGAATATCTTAATATAGGATGGGGGGTTATTATACGAATTGACGCGACTGATGGCAAAAATTTAGTTTGATATGATTCGCCACAATATCAATGGTTTTACGGCCAACAAATAATATTCACAGTTCAGTTCGTTCTATTCCTTGAACTTTTTCATCTCCAATGCAACCAAAATTGATGTGTTACAATTTTTACTTTTTAATATTTATTCCAATCCTATAATAAAATATTTTCAATTAGGATACAATCGACAGATATATAAGTAGGAAATTTTGCAACTTTTTTCTTTTAATTCACGGACTCATTCAGTATACATAATACAGTATTGTAGATTAAAATATTTCTTATGCTTCTTGTTTTTTTTCTTCCTTTTCTCCCTTTTGTAAAAGTGTATATAGATGTGTAAACGTATAGTACAATATATTTTTTCTTCCTCTTAAGAAGTATAAAATGAAAAATTAACTGAGGAAACAAAAAAGTTTTGTAGGTACAAGGTAGACAAAAAATTATCAATTAATGATTAATGAATTATTCATAGTAACTATGAAGTAAAAAAGGCAATACAAGAGACCCCCCCCCGTTTTCACACGTGTTTCGATGGACTAGCTTTGTTAAACTTTGGAAAAAGTCAAACTATAATTATAATTGTTTAATGGAAAGAATTGAAAGGAGAAATCGCTGATTAAATGGGAATTAACTGCGAAAAATAATTAATTTTTTTCTTTTCTGCTACGAATAAGGAGTAAGTTATTTTCGTCATACAATTTGAGAAAGCTGGATATTCGTAAACAGCAGACCCATCGTTAATTGTCCATTACAGTGTTGTTGATTACTTTAGGATTTCTTGAGTGTCAATGGTGAGTTGAATCGTTAAACTGATGGGCATACCGATCTCAATTTTTTAATGATTTATAAAAAATATATTGGTACACACTCTTCCATAATGCAATTACACCTGTTACCATTCATTTGTTGTACTATTCTCATCAGAGAGTACAAGTGAACCCTCATTTATTCGTTCAATAAACTCCTTCCAACAAAAAAAAAAAAATAATTCAATCAATTATTTTTCCTTCCTACAGAAGAGAAAAGGTAAATTATGACATTGATATTCCTTCACATTTCCTCATCCAGCAAACTATGAACTCATTCTGTTAGGTAAACATTCATTTCAACGAATGTGAAGGGATACATCCTTTAAAACTTTGAGAAAATTGAAAGTCTGCATAGATGTGATTGATTAATGTATTAAAGCACTTACAGGATAGTTTTTTTTTAATTCACAATTTATTATTTTCTCTGTTTTTTTAATAATTTTTTTTTCTAAATACAAATCTTCAATCGGATCGAAAAACTCACTCTAAATATTTGTTTAATTGCAAAAACATTTTTTATCCATCAATCTTTTTGGTGTCAATAAAATATAAATTGTCGAGATCACGGGAACATTTTTTGTTATGAGATATTTATACTATACGTATTGTGATTTTTTTCTTTAATTTGATGACCCTGAACATGAGAAGCACACACCGAATGGAATGCCACTGTATAAAGTGTATAATAATTATATGTATACATATGTGTGGTGGTCAATTTGATATGTAAATAATCAAAGTGCCTCCCAAACACAAAAGAAAATATTAACGTTTTTCCAAATGGAAAAAAAAAAATCTTAAAACTAGTAAAAATAAAAAAATAGTAAAAAACGACAGCAAAAAAAAACAAATCGAACATAAAATGATAACCTTCTGATATAATTTGTCACGCAGCCAGTTAAGTATTACATAACAATTGACTAATGCCAAAAAAATACAATAAAACCTTTCATAATATTTGTTTTGTTGAGGAATGGAATTAGAGTAGAAATAATTATTTCCACGTTTTTTTTTCTTTTTCTACAACGACACTTTCTCATTGCTTATCAACTAACGGTACAATACATTAAACATTTGTACTTTAACTGACTAATGAAGAATGTTATTTTTTTTTCATTTTTCTCTTCCTCCTCTCCTCAGTTTTTCCTTACATTAGAGATTTTTAAATTCTAAAAATAACTTGGACATTTTACACGGCACAAATTATGAACTCGATAAACCATTTTAAAAAATAATAAAAACGAACAAACACAAAATAAACAGATATCCTACGTAAGACTAATTCGTAAAAATTGTTATCATTAATTTTTTTTCTCATTTGGCACTAACGAATTTAATTCTTGTATAAATACAAAGCGTATGAAGAAAAGAACATAATAAATGACGCTTAAGCTGCTCTTTTTATAATCTAAACTTATACAAACGTATACCAGTCAGGGCGACATACATAACGAAATAAAATGAAAAAGATCAATATCTACCATAAAAACGACTTTACTGTGACTATTTCTCCATCCTCTTTTTTTCTCCCTCTATTCTAAACAATTTCCATAGTCGACGAAGAATGGATACTTTGTAGTTAGATGCCTTAAAATATATCAATTAAATATTGGAATGCAAACCACGCAAAAGTCGCATTTTGATATCTAGTTCAATCGAAAATAGTCTTAGATAACTCAAATTTAATTATTTTATCTGACTGATGGAAAAAAGAGAAAAAAAAACACCCCTTTATCGAGTATTTGACGAGGGAATTAGTTTGATGTAGTTGAATAATTTATCCTTAATGCTTATTATGGAGCTACTAAAATATAAACAAAACAGTTTTTGGTACTTTGTCATCTTGTCAAATTCACCCCCTCCATTCTGTTTGATTTCATCAAACAGATCTTTCAACATGTAAAATGGATAAATTGAAATTGAAAACGAGGGAAAAGAGTCTTTGACGACTGAAAAAACTAAGAAACAATAGAACAAAAATAGAAAACAGTCAGCGGAACACATAGTGCTTGTGTGCACAACCTATAATGAAATAATAATTTAATGTATGAGTTAAAAAAACATCTCTGAAATTAAATATAAAACCTTTTTTTCCAAAGAGAAAGGAACACCTTCGAATGCATGTACACATTAAGATTGATCAATGATGATCGATAAAAAAATACATAACGATGGAAAAAAAAAAGAAAAACACGAAAAAACAAAAAATATTGCGATAATGTGTAAATGCATTCACACCACTCTAAAGTCAGAAAATTGAGTGGTGGCTCAGTAATAATTGGCCATGCTCCTAAAATTTCATAGCGTATTTTTTTAAATATTATTCAAAGACGCTAGGAAGACTATGATTAACCGTAGGCTACAAGTTGTCAGTGTCTCATATTTGGTTTTTCCCCAATTTTTTTTCCCTTGGTTCTATCAATTGATACACTTGTACAGTATATTTAATATACCCTTTGTTGCACTCAATCGTGTAGTAAAAGAATGTCCTTGCTATCAAATAGTCAATTCGTTTTTCTCTGACGAAAAAAGAAAATGAAAGAAAAAGATTTGCGACAAGTAAGTTGTAAAAATTATGGGAAAATCAGATAGTTTAAAACCGTTTTTTAAAAATTTGAAATCTTAGTTGAAACTTCTCATTCTTGAAAAATTCTTGTTTTGAGTGAGAATATACATATACAAGACTGCGAAAAATAGGTTTGTAATGGTATTCGCCTATTTTTTTTGTCCATTTTTAGAAATATTTGTTTAAAAGTTGTTTACAATACGCAATTTTTAATACAGCTACGGCGGACAATGGAAGTTGTTCGTTCAAACCAATGGCAAATTTCAATTAAACCGTACTACAAGTTTTCCAAGCAATTGTTTGATCCTGTTCTAAGCTCAGATTATGATACTGGATTTTACATTGATAATAGCTTAGCTGATTCGACATTGTAAATTGATTTTTAAATATATGTTTTCTTTTCAGCGTTTTTTCATCTCATTTCATTCAATTGGTAAGTCTATCAACACCATTCTTTTCTCCTCTTTAATCTTTTCTTCTTTCATTAAATATTAGTTTAACAGTAAGCAGAGTGTATCTATTATGTAGAGAGTGACTATATAATTCTATACATATCAGGATAATAAGATTTTTGAGATTGTAAAAATCATCAAAAAATCTATCACAATTACCATTTACGTAACAAGTAATGCGCATCTCATTAATCATTTTTACCTTTTTTTATCTTCACTTTTTTAAAAATTTCACTTCATTTAAATATTATTGTTGTAATTCAAACATCAAGGCAAATAAGGGGTGAATTTCAACAGTGGCCTAAATTAGCCAAGTAGTCTTCCACAGATAAAAATATGTAAATAGAGTAAATCTATACTAAAATATTCAAGTATATATAAGGTGAGCGTAGTATAATAATCATTATTATTTTTTTTCAATTTTGTGAGGTAAAAAACCCTCTTGCTTTAATGGTCATCGCGTCGTTTTAAAAATTATGCATGAAATCCTCAGCCCCCCGCTCCCTTTGTCATTAATTCGGCTCCAAAAATGACCGAACAAAATTTACCATTTTTTTCATCTCAAAAAACATAGTCATTCCCTTCCCTCTCAAACTCGCTGCGAATTCACGAACAATGCTTGAATTATTATGCTTTCTATTTTACGTTTTATTTTTTAATTTTGTTCAATGTTCTCTACCTGTAATTTATTAACTTTTTATTATTCACCAAACTCATCTCATCGTTATTTTTCTAGTGTACCGTAGGAGAATGTGGATGGGCAGCTGCATGTGCTGGTGTCGTTGTGCAAATCGGACAATGAACACACTATTATATGAATTGAAAATTTAATAATGATTTTTTTTTCGTCATTTTTTGCATCAACTCTCTTATCTTCTTTTTTCATCTACAGCGAGGCAACACCAACGCAGTACAGATTTTTATTTTTGTCAGTAATTTCTAATCCTTTTTGCTCGTTTTTATTCTTTTTCTTTAATATTTACCTAGTAACAACATCAGAAACTCTTTAAGGACACAACTTATCCTGACGATACTATTATCACAGGCATTATTCTTTAATATAACTCTGCTAAATCATGACTATTCAATATTTTCAGAAGTTTATACATTTTTTGTCTTTTTATTTATTTATTTATTTATTTTGTTTATATTTTTTTCCAGTTTTATGTGTTTTTTACCACGCATCCGCGGTTTATCTATAGATGTATAATATGTATATATGTGTATATAAAATTAAACTTGAAATAATTACCACATTTATACGATTAATCAATAGATTAGAGGTGGTAAAACCGTAGGCTTAGCTGCAACGATGTTTTTTTTTCTTTTTATTCAATCTTATTAAATCAATTTCAAACAATCGTTTAATTTGCCCGTTTAAACTCACTTCCTAGTACTTTCTTATGTTCTGATCATAGAAATGATTGCAGATAAGATGTTTCATTTCTCTTTGTATTGTTGGTAAGATTTTTTGAAGCCATTTTTCAGTGTAAATACAATGTATGCGTCTACCTAGCAAATTGATAATTTGCAAAAATTAGAATGAAAAATAATACTCGTCTCGCCTTAACATTATGTATATACACGGTAAATAGATAACACAGCATAGCGAACCGTCAAAAATACGATACCGCGTTGCTAACGTGGTGTAATTTGCAATTTTTCCCATTTTCATTAATTACCGATTTCTCAATCCAATTAAGGCTGGTCATGTAAACAACCCTAAAAATATTTCATTTGTATATATGAATGGTTTTTTCCCCTGCCTCTCATCTGTTGGTTTTTTGTTTACCATATATAGTTCATACGCCAGGGGTACTTCACTTCTGTGTACATTGAGATGTCCAGAAGCTTTAACCATTGGAATTCATGTGTTCGTAGTCGCTGATTGCAAATATGATAACCGTTTTTGCAAAATCATGCGTTGTCTCTTTATTTATGAAAATATAGTTGTTTAAACTGCAAGGTTGCAGAAGCGATTGAAGATAGAAGAAAAAGTTTCAAACAAAAAATGTTCGTTATCGAAAAATGAACATATTTTGTCATATAATTTTTTCTCATAGCTATTATACACTTTCGCTTATGAGTTATGAGACATTTAGCTCCAATCGCAGTTAACTGCTGGGATTGGACCTACATGTCTAATAATTCAAAAGATGTATCATAAAATTATCAATATTTTGTATCCCAAAATTTTTTTTGTAGCTGCATCAATTTAAAAGATATTCCTGACGAAATACCGTGTTTGGGGTATGACCAGGGTGAACGTTCACGCATACTTGCCATGTTGCAAAACGGTCACGCAGAGTGGTGTAGCCAGTTTTCTTCTAATTCATAAACAAAAGCCTTATCTATGTTTTCATTTTTGAGTTTTGTTTTTATCCTAAGGAAGTGGAGAAGTTACCGGCAGTTTGTATTGAGACTCCTGAGAGTGGAAAAACAATGTTTTTTTTTTCAATCTCAAAAATAATAAATATTTTGCGATGTATTTTCTGAGTTTTGTGGCTTAAATGACAAAATATGTCCATTTTTCAATAAAAAGGATTTATAGTTCGAAATTTTTTTCCCTATCCTTAACCGTTTTTGCGATTTTGTGGTTTAAACAATTAAATTGTTATAAATAAAGCGACAGCACATCATTTCGCAAAAACGATTATCATATGTGCAATCAGCGATCTTGAAAACGTCAATTCTAATGGTCAAATCTTCTGGACATCTCGATGTACACAGAGGTCCTCCTGGTACTGATAGACTAATAAGGATCGACAATTTTTTGTATATCGTCGTCATAGAGCGAAAGGGACGTAACAGGTTTGCATAGACAGCTTTTATGCCCCCTTGAACTTATGACGACAAACAGCTACCAAACAGCACTTTTTTTTCCTTTTTTTTTTCAAACTTTAAATGTAGGTAAGATACTGTCTCTATGATACAAATAGTACATGTAGAAATTGTACGCAATGTAAATTATCAACTCTGACAAATTCCTAAATAAAAATTCCTCAATGAATAAATGAGATTTATGCATAGATCATCATTCGTTTAGCACCAGGAAAAATGAATGACTCGCATACGCATTGCGTTTTTTAGTAAAATGATAATAACAAAATTGTTTGTTTTTTTTTTTCATATTTTTCAATGGACCGTGTTTAAAGCATCCTGAGTAAATACTGTGATCATTTTGTATTTTCTTGTCATCAAATACCACAATGCACGAATCCAATTTTTTTTTGTATTTTATTCAGTTGAGGGTCTATTTTTTATATGTAGCGAAAATAGTTTTTTGGTAATCATTGGTGGCTTAAAATGATATAAAATAATTTGAACTCTAGTATAATTTGAATAATCATTTTAGTGGAAAAAATGATAAATGACTAATAGCTCTGAATTTCAACTTTTGGTAGTCTGATTTACTAGACTGAATAAAATACTTAGTTAATTGAAATAATATCACCCTCAACTACTTAATTTCGTCAATCCCTTGAAAATCATCGATCGATAATATTGGGTATTGGAGGTAAATATTTGAGCACAAAAATTAATATGAAACTCATCGTTGAGATTTTTTCATGAGTTTCTGTTTCAAATCGCTTTCTTTCTTAACAGTCATAGGAGTAAAAGGGAGCATGATAAATCGTGCTCGAATGAGACTAGATTACTGATTTATAATCAATTACTTAAAATACTGAGATGTCAAAAATGATGTGTAACGACCAATTTTGACGGAAGGCCATTGTTTTTAATTTTTCAAATGTCTTTCCATTCCTCTTAAATTTCTTCGGATCTATTCAACTGTTAATTTTTCGGTTAAATAAATAGCTACACGCACCATCAATCGATCAGCGCGCAGTGCCAATGCATAACAGCCCAGTTTCTCCCACGGTACACTCGAAAAATTATTTTTCAACCTTTTGACAGTTTACCAAATGCAATTTCACTAATTATGATAATTATTATACTGCAACGTTGGTCGGAGATGTAAGAACCTTGCATCTTGTTTTTTTATTCTATCGTACTTGTTTAATTTTTCTTCGAGCTGATTTTCTTCTAGATGTTGATTCATATACTCCATAAAAACAGGGACGCACGTATTTTATTGTTTCAATGATAATTTGCTGCACTTTGTCGCTTTTCACTTCAACTGCTTGTTATTGCTTCGATAGGCCAAAAATTGGCAAAGTTTTTGTGGTTTTCTTTAGATTAATTGCGGTTGTTTGGTTTACCTTTCGTTGCGAGCGGAGTGGCCTCCAATAAGATGACCGTATGAAGAAGTAAGTTGCGACGTTATTGTTGGTTTTGTCCCACTTCACAATATGTACAGTGTGTTCAGTACCAGGACGTGGTGATTGTTTTTGGCCAACGTCACAATGTAACCTTCGGAAGTGATTTTAAGGCCGCAGCATCTTGACACCTAGATTTTTTTAGGGAACTCGAGATAGTTAGTAAAAGGATGAAGTTATTTATTGAGGGGATCAACCTCTAATTTCAAAATGTGTGAAAAACTTTTTTGTAGGAGACATATTTTCCTACAATAAGGTTTTCCAATCATTTCTCTCAATATCACTCTTTTGGGAGACAATTAAACAAAATTTTACGGAAAAGAAATCTAAACTGCATCAGAAGGCTTCTCAACAAAGAAATAAAAGGTGGAAAAGAAATTTTATAATCTGCCATTTTGTGGGCAATCATTTATACAATTATATCGCCAAAATCAGTAGGCGGATATATCTAGCAAAGGAAGAAATGATAATGTTACCTTCACATAAGGACATTCAAACTCGGAAATAAGGGAGCCATCCCTTGAAAAAACAGCAACGTGAAAACGATTGCCATGGGAATCACCAATCAAGACATCTCCAGCGTCGCTAATGTCAATCCCGTTTGGGAAATTTGTTATATTCTCACAGCCAATGCGACGTAGGAAATGGCCCTCCTCGTTGAAAACAACAACGCAGTGTCCTTTGAAGTCACAAACGAAAAATTCCTTGCCTGAAACCAATTATAAAAATTAATTAATAGTGTTTCCTTTTCCAATTGTGGTAATGTCGACAAATGTTATGTGTATGTATGTTGTATATATGTTGTATGGTAAAATGTTCTCTTAAAAAATTTTAAAGGCCACTCATTTCTCTAATATTCCCACAGTGATGTAAATATTAAGAAATTATTTGTATATTTTCTAGTAGTAAGAGAAAAACATACCACTAATAGCAATATCACTTGGCTCTCTCATGTAATCGCTGCAGTCGAACCAGTTGAGAAGATTGCCAGTATCGTTAATAACGAACACAGTTGGTGACACACTGTCAACTGCGACAATGTGTCCTTGACTAGTGACAGCAAGACCTGCCACAATGTCGATGTAACGAATTGCTATTTTCTTTATAAAATGCCCATTCTTGGTGAATATCTGCATTCTGGAACGCTCGTTTCCACGATCACAAACCACGAATTTTCCACAATTTCTCATGACAGCTACTTTTCGTGGATACCAGAGTTGACCCTCCTCCTTTCCTGGGATTCCAAATTGTGATTTGAACTGTCCAGTTTTATCGAATATCTACAAGCAAACAAAATATTATGAAAGTCTCTGAATTAATTCATCCAAATCTTAATTTGAATGTTAACATTTTTGGAAAAGAAAATCATGTAAATTTTGTTGATGATATATTTTACCTGAATTCTGTGATTATTAGTATCAGCAACGATAATGTCCTCATCAGTTCCAAGGCAGAAACCATGTGGTGAATTAAATTGTCCCTTACTGGGTCCAAGTTGTCCAAACTTGGACCTAATTTGCATTGGTGTCTGTTTGGTATTATTAGTTGAGCGTGGATGATTATAGTTGCCACTTCCTGGCACCCCATTATTCCCTCCACCCATCATATTGTGCATATCACCTTTAAGATCATCCCCCGGTGACAAAATTGGTGAAGTTGAGTTTGACAACGATTGATATCCCCCATTTAACAGAGTGTTAGCAGACAAACCTCCTATATTCTGTCCATCATTAATTCCAGGTGATGGTACACGTGCCAAAACCATTGCTCCACTACCATTAATTGTTGAATTTCCCATATCCTGATTGCCCAGTGTATTTCCAAGCTTGGCAAGTGCTTGTAAATTATTAATGGCATGACTCGTTGAACTCAGATCCCCAGACAATAAATCGGCAAGTGTAAAGGACGGAGTTGGACTTGGATTTGTGCTCGTTTCATTGAGCTCAACTTTTTCAGCGAGACTGGCTAATTGCTGAAGATTGTACTCCTGTATGCTGGTAAAACCATGCATTGGAGGACCTGGAGGAAGAGATACTGATGGGGGACCAGCGGATGATACTGGAGGTGGTGGTGGTGGGGATGGTGGTGATACATCTTGAGGATTTGGTGTACTTGGTGGGATAATGTAGGAAGGATCACCCTCGAAGGATGATTGCATTGATCCAGGAAGGGAAATTGGGGAATTGGTGCTTATGGAACTTGGACATGGCATCACCACTGGAATCTGTTGATTCTGATGATTTTGATTGCTCTGCACCGAGACCTGGCCGTTGTCACACATCGAATTCATTGCTGACATGACATCTGGCGAAATATCGACTGGTTTAAATGCCTGAGTACTCTCTGTTTTGAATCTACCAAACGATTCTTGCATAACTTTTTCAAAGTGCTGATCGTCGGTCTGGAATTCAATAGAGAATTTAACATTCAATTTCGGTGTGTTGTTTATCAAATTTATCAGTTGCTTGGCAACGATGCGTTTGAGTGCCAGAATTTCTGTTGTGTCACCATGCTCGAGGAGTCTCGAGGTAAAACGATTGGCATCCTCGATCTTTTCAACCGTTTTTTCAACATTATGGAAGGTATCCATTACTTGAAGCTCACGCTCAGAGTGGAGTTTCTCCAATTCGCCCAGTGCATTGTCTCGGCATTTTTCGAGGATTGCTTTGTAGCTTTGAACGGTCTCGGTGATGAGGTCTTTTGCCTGGTCGTGTTGAGATTGAAGCTCACTGAGGGCATTTTCTAGTTGATTCGATGCTCGTTCGCACTCTGACATCTTTAATTTGCTTTCTGACATTAGATTGACTAGTTCCTCTTTTTCACGAGATTCCGCGTCGCTTAGCCTTTCATATTGATGATCTGGAGCTTTATGCTGAACAAGAAGACACTCGTTGCATATTGGTTCCTGTAAAAGAATTTAAATATATTGTGTTATTCTCAAGAATTATTTTTATTGCTCCCTTGAATTAATTGTGAATAGAATGACCGGAATGCTTTATTCTAAATAAATTATTCTTAAATATTTCAACGGACTTTTTTATCTTGAAAATTATTATAAGAGACATTGCTGAAAGCTGAAGCAATCCGCAATCGAAGATGTCTCTCCACATTTTTACTTAAAAACACCCATTGAATTTGACTCTAGATTTACACTTCATGTTTAAATTTTAACGATTTCTATGTCACTTTTTTGAACCAACGCAACATTCCTCACTCCCATTATCTCCTTAAATCTAGTAAAAAATTTGATTTGATAATAATTCGCTAGATAATAAAACTAACCTGACACGTGTAGCAATAGAACTTCATGTTTTCAGTGAGATGAAATTGACAGAATATAGGCTTATGAATTGGTACAATCTCACTATTTCTTTTGAGATCATCAAAAGCAATGACTTTATGGCTCTCGAAGCATCGCATAAACTGATGTGCGGTATTGCAATTTGGGCACAAAAAATTGGCACAATCAGAGCAACGTGCAACAGCATTCTCCTTAGCCTTGCAAGATGTGCAGAGTACCGTCATGTTTTCAATAGCAGACATATCAAGAATATTGGTAAGCACATAATCGCAAGCAAGACTGGCTGCGCCCTTAGCACCGACCCTCGTCTCTTGCTCGCACACTGGGCATGTAATGATGAATGGACCAATACCATTACCACCATCGTTGTCTATCAACTGTGTATTGACACAGTTCTCACAAAAAACATGAAGACAATTTAGCAAACGTGGTGATGACAGTTTATTCTCACACAAAAAACAGTACTCATCGCTGTTACCAGAATTACCACCTGACATTTCCTCCAATGGCTCATTATCGTCGTCATTATCATCATCATCATCATCGCCTTCATGACCATCATTATCATGTTTATCATCACCAATCGGTGAATTTAAAGGAATTGCACCATTACCGAGACCATTCGTCATATTCCATTCGTTCAACGAATCATTATGAATGTTATCTGTCTCGTCGTTTGTTGGATTAATATCCTCAATCACTTGAACACTTTGGATCGTCGTTACTGCAACCTGCCCGACCTGAGCTGTGCCCGTTGGCACTGCCATCGTCGTTGATGCCATCAATATCTCTTTTATTTTGTATTCCAATTTCAGTGACTTGCGTTCGATACTCTCTGCCCTTGAACTCTTGATAATTTTTTTTTCTTAGATTTATTTGCCCACTTTCGTTGACGGGTATTTGTTTATTCTTTATTTATTGTTTTCACTTATTTACCTCTGCCTTTCGTTTTCGTTTGGGGACTTTAGGTCACAGAATACATGAAATTATTGAGTGGCGTCCCAACGGAGGCTCATCGACTCTCAGATACGGCCGCCATGTTGACAGCTAGTACGGCACTCCTGCCGCATAAAATCAAACGGCAATTGTTATTATTTTTTAGTTGTCGACTATTACCAAATTCTTTTGAGGTTACAAGTCAAGAGTTTTGATTCACAAGTTCATTGTATTTTTGGAAAATCACAGGATAAATTAAGAAGTTTTCAGGGGATTTTATTACGAGTTTTGGGTTATAAGTTTGGAAGGCGATTGGTGGAGCTGAGAGATCACGAATGGAACTATTATCATGGCCGCGACGTTACGGGGTTACGGGATAAGAGGACGAGAACGGGGCGAGGGGAAGGCTTTAGTTGGTTTTTTATTGTTTGGTGTCGTTCGAGCAAGTTCGACAAATTTAATGAGATAAATGTTTACAATAGGAATTCTGTTGATATTTCAGTCCGCGGTTGTCGTTCATAAATAGATTGGAGAACATGTGAATTTTTCGGGGTAGGAGAAAAAGAGATAAGAGGGGAGAAGATCATGTGCTGCAGGGGAGTTTGCAAATAGGAGAGGGGTGAAGTTTTTGGGGTAGCGCAAGTAGAGAGAACATTTGGGGTATTCCATGTGAATTCACCCAGTTCAAAACCCTCATCATCGCCAATCATATTGCCGATTTTTCCTGTGGTTGTATATGGAAAAATATGACTTGTCAAATTTTTTCAGATTTTTTGAGGCATCCTGTGGACAGCCATGTTTTTTTGAAAGTTTTACCTTTAAATGCCTGCAACTTCCGTAAAAGTCAACCGATTTGAGTTTTTTTTTTACAAAATGTGCGTCTTCGAACACACTTTCCATATAAAAATATGCCAATATTTTTCAATTCGTTCTTCCATTGATTTCTTCAGAAAAATCTCAAAAAACTTAAAAAAAACGAGTCGTTTTCAAAGTTGGACCCGTTTTATATTTTTCAAAAAATTTCAGCGAATATATTGGATCAAAACAAAATTTTTCACCAAAGGCCAAAGTGGGCTTCCCATTTCGTGGCCGTCATTTCCAATTTGAATACATGAATCCGGGATGAAAAATTTCAAAAATTTCAAAATTCTTTTCGCATTTGAACGCAGAAGCATTATTTGAATTTACCGCCTGAAGAATCACTGCATTATATTCGAATCTGGAACAATTTGATGATTTTTTGAAAATTCGTTAACAATAAATCTCTTCGAGTGGTGTGTTCTAATGGAGATCCCACTTTGGCCTTTGGTGAAAAATTTTATTTTGGTGCAATATATTCACTGAAATTTTTTGAAAAATATAAAAAGGGTCCAACTTTGAAAACGACTCGTTTTTTGAAGTTTTTTGAGGTTTTTCTGAGGAAATCGATGGAAGAACGAATTGAAAAAAATTGGCATATTTTTATATGGAAAGTGTGTTCGAAGACGCACATTTTGTAAAAAAAAAACTCAAATCGGTTGATTTTTACGGAAGTTACAGGCATTTGAAGATAAAACTTGCAAAAAAACATGGCTGCCCACAGGATGCCTTAAAAAATCTGAAAAAATTTGAGAAGTCATATTTTTCCATATACAACCACAGGAAAAATCGGCAATATGATTGGCGATGGTGAGGGTTTTGACCTGGGTGAGTTCACATGGAATACCCCATTTGCGTGGTTAGAGACTGGAGGCTGATTATCTTCGGAAAATTTATTTTCCTTGGGCCGTTTTAAAACTAAAATTCATATCCTGAATTTTAATATATAACGAACTGATTAGGGAGAGTATTGATCGGAAGTCAGCAGATTTGGATGGAAGAGCTCTGTGTGTGTGTGTGTGTGTGTGTGTGTGTGTGTGTGTGTGTGTGTGTTGGGGATCGGGGGGGGGGGGATTTCATTGAACTCCAGGCGTGAAATTTTATAAATTCGGAAATTACTGAGGAAAATATTACCAAAGATTACGAAAGAACTAAAGAACGATGAAAGTAAAATAGAAATCAAACAATTTTCAGGGAAGGTAAAGAGCATCACGAAATGCTGCGAGTGTGAGTGCGGAGTAAACCTTGATTAGACATTGGAGAAAAGAATTCACCTACATTTATTCATCGAGAAAAACCAAAACTTTCAAATAATCATAACTTCTTTAGTTATCACTATTTTTCAACAAATTTTTTCTCAAAATGTTCGTCTAAGGCCAACTTTCTGAAAAAAAATCAGCAGGGAAATCCCTAACATGCACTTTTTAGGAAAATTATTTCTCATTTTCCTCAATTTTCAGTAGAATGCTTAGTGAAACCATCGAAGAAATAACTTTAATTGGTCTCAAAATTTTCGTCATATTACTGATGATTTTTGGCCATAATTTCAAATAAAGAAAAATGAAATTTTTAAGATAATTCCGATTGAAAAAACACGTTTTGCGGCATCAAGTCCGTAAAATACCATGAAGATCTTTTCATGTTTATTTGGTGTGCCAAAGGGGAATTTAATAACTCAAAACTCGAACTTGATATTGATGAAAATGTGAAAGAAGAAAAAAGCTTGAAAAGATTTTTCTGAAAATGAGATATTTTCACAAAATCATAACTTCCTCAATTTTTATGTTTTTTCTTTTCCAAATGTTCGTTTGAAGTCGTTTGCCAAAAAAATTGGCGAGGAGAAGCCCGCCATCTATTTTTTTGGTCTTGTAATTTGACGTGGAACTGCTCTCATTCAAAACGGTAAACGGATTTTCCGTCCCGGCGGGCGCAAAGTTACATTTCCCTCCCGCGTCGCTCTACGCGCTCACTATTGGTAGGACCGATTTGTAAATTATACAAATGTACAGAACACTTTATACAAAAAAAAATTAAGAATCCATAATTTGGATCGGATGATGTTTAAATAGCATATCACGAACGAATGCTGCTTCCGAAAGTAAACGGGATATTTAGTTGTTTCTCCATATTCTGTGATTCTTTAGATTCGTGGAAAATTGATTTGAATTTTGGTCCTTACTCAGTCGCGCAGACGAGTACTTCTGTTTGTATCAGTTTTCTGAACATTACAATGAAAACATTGCTATAAAAAAATCGAGAAGATTGAAAACAATTTGATGGAACTTTTCTTTTTTTGCCTTGCCCAGAACATATGGGGGATCTGTCTCGCAAGGATTTCAGATATTTGTTTTAGCCTGATCTGTCTCAGGCAGACATTCGTATCTGTCTGGATTCGTCTGATATGAAAAACAAATGAGAATGTTCGTCTGAGACAGATTGAATGAAATAAACATCTGAAATCGTTTCGAGACCGATCCTTTATATTTATGGAAAGATTTTCATTCGACGGAGAATGTGGGCAAGGCAAAGATGCCATCAGTAATAACATACAATAGCGAAATGGGAAGATGTCTCACCAGATGATAACTCAATTTGGAGAACAAAAAGTTTTACGAGTGAGAGTATTATTGAACCCAATATTAGAATGGATGAGAGAAAGAAACGAAACTTATATTTTTTGAAATAATCTTCACAACAATCCGGAAATCCGTTCTGAAAGCACCTTCGTCGACCACTTCCCTATTAAGGGGTGCGTTTCGGAATCAACTACCGTAGCTGCAGTAAAGCAAAATTAGATAGGGTTGCAGTACTGCTACTGCTACTACGTCGATTGCGAAACGCGCCCAAGGGGAGACTACTATGAGTTTTAAACGTCGCGGGCTATTGGAATAGGATTTCTCATGCATTGAAGGCTGATTATATATGTCTAAAAATGAATAGTTAGTGCAAAAAATTTTACTGTTTTTGTTCATTTGCGCTGCAGATACTTAAAATATTAAAAATAGTCCAGGGTCTCCCATTTTCGAGGTACAAAGGTTTTTCTTTCAAAAATTTTTGAAAAAATGTGTACAACAACAATCATGAAGTAGTTTTTTGAAATTCGACTCCTAAACAGAAAAATTATCCTTAAAATATTGAAAATATATTCTCGATTCTTTCAGAAATACTTTTCTGGCTATTTTACATGAATGGTGCAATTTTTTATTAAAACAAGCAGCGTGTGAGAAACCATTTAACAGCTTACATATTACTGCTACGTTTTTTTTTCTCCTATTTTTATTTCTACCAATTTCATTGGTAGTAGGCTTCCGAATGGATCTCAATCTATCTTTTTAAAAAATGAACACATAAGGATTCCTGTAGATTCCTATGTAGCTTAAAAAAATAGAAAAACGTAAATATCTCTAAACTATTCAATGGGATGGTACACATATTTTGTTAGATCTAGATAAATGATATCAAGAAGGAAATTTTGAAAAAAAAAAGAAATGAAATCGGACCAGTAGTTTTTGAGAAATTGAGTTTCACATATAAAGTTGAATATCTCCGAAACTAATGGTCCGATTCCGTTCATCTGCAATCTCAACCTTTGTTATCATATGACCTAAAATCATATCAAGTGTCAAGTTTCTATCTCAATTATTTTTTAAGTTATCATTCATACAAGCAATTTCAGAGAAAACACGAAAAAACGAGGACAAAACTACATTGCTCGGGGTGGAATGGTCTTTTTTCGATCCAATTGAAGGGCTATCATCATGACGAATATTTTGAAAAAAAAAATTGGAATTCGTCACATGGTTAAGGAGATATAAGCAAAAAACGATTTTTGAGGAATCGCTATATCTCAGGAGCCGCTCAACCGATCGAGCTGAAATTTAGCACAAATATGACTATCAATAGTACCAATTAGCAGCTAGAATTTCAGCGTCTTTGCGTTCATCGAGTTATAGGGAGTTATAGGGACAGTTCTGGACATTTTTAAAAAAACAACATTTCTTCACGTTTTATGACATTTATAGGCATTTCCACCGAAAATTAGGAAATCGAAAAAAATTATGAGTAGGGGAGGGTGTGCCTGTACCGCCCACCTAAGGGGAAATGCCAATTTTATATTTTATATTTCAACTTGAGTATAAAAAAAGTATTTGTGAGACTTCTTTAAGCATTGAACTCGTTATTCTCGAAGTGTAGATGCCTAATTCTCCTTAGAATCCACAAAATTGATTGAAAATAAAAGAGAGAGCCTATTGAGCGGTACTACCCG